GTCGTGCAGGCATGGTTTCGCCCATGCGATCAACGTGGATTGAGCCTGCACTTTAAGAGTGCATGTTCTTTGCACGGCTTACATTTGAATCAGTGGTCCCCTCTACCGCACTTAGAGCGGTTTCCCATTTTTGCTGAAACAGCTATTGTGGAACTTGTTTGCAGGTGGTCGATCTGATCAGTGGCCGTGTCGTTGGCCCGTTTCAAAAAGGAGTAATCTATGTGAAAGGTGTGAGCGTTATGTCACCTTATCTAAACAACGAGGAAGCGACCAGAGAACAAATCAGAGGCGGATGGAGAAAAACCGGTTAGTATCGTTTCACATTCCTTGATGGCACTATTAAGTGGGGCTATAGAACGACGAAAGAGTGTCACGTACCGGTAAATTCATGCACGAAAGAACGCAGGTCCACGGGAATTTCAATTGAAAATCTTTTTGAAGCACCGACCCCCTCGCTAGGGACTATGCCATCGTTATTGAAGTCGGTTGGGGTGTGTCAGCGGTGAGAGGGTTTCGGCGTAGCGCAGGCCCCTTTCCCACTTCTTAGTGAACTCCCAAAGTTCCAACGATTTATGAAAAAAAGGACCAGCGCCTCGCCTAAACCACGCCCAAATGAGTTCAGTGATAACGACAGTAATTTTTGGAGGTTCACAACACGGGATACACATTTGTTCTTGAGTCACTAGGGCTCTATATGTCTATATTTACCTACGTTCCTGCGATCGAATAGATCCATATTTCCTTACTTTGGTATCATGTGTTGGCCCTCTCTTCTAAATAGCATTTCCTGCGCGCGCCCGCTCTCCAGATAGAGACTTATGCCCAACGTTCCGAGTATGCCGCCGCGGGTCCCTCTCTGAAGGCCGCGTTCACACTTCACGGTTGGAGCGAAGCAGCTGCACGTTTGGAATAGTCTTCAATCACATGCGACGCTCTTCCACAGGCAACTAGCGCGTTTTCTTAATATCGTGAATCGCTCGAGTCGCGAAGCATGAACGCGGCTGCAGCCCGTGGTCGAGATTGCCTGGCGCCACTAGGGCAGACCACCCGTCGACAGTGCGGATTTTGCTCGACACCCGTTCAATTCATCCCCAACTTCTGCCCCAACCCTGTACCTGTTCTGCATGAGCACACGTAGAGGCAAACGGTGAGGGAGCAACGTCATGAATCTGGGGTCCACCTAGAAGGTGTCGTAGACGGAGAGGAAATGGAGGACCAATTTCATCCTTAGTAACCCCAAGTTGAAGGGAGCCTAGAAACGGGTAGTTGTCGTTTACAGAGAGTGTATAAATTGAGGGTTCAAAATACCAAATGTGTAAAAGCTTTCAGTTGCGGCTTGGCGTCTCGATGATCGGCTACCGGCTCATCACGTTGAACGTGTGAGTGCTGTAAGGCTATGGCACAAATAGCCATTGAGCTGAGCGGTCAAAAGTGGCCTCGGTAGCGTGAAGGGAACGCAACTGCGGCGGTATAGCAAAAAGATGCGGTTCAATCCCGTCCGTTTTGCTACCGACTTTGCCATACACTCAGCATTCTTTGTGTATCAAAAATATGTTTAACACCCACTGCTTATGTTCATTCGTCTTCAAAAAAAGTCATGAAGCTTACGTTTCAGGAGATATCGGGTACTATGACGACGACGAAAACCTTTACCTCGTCGACAAATTCAAGGAAATGATAAAAGTACACGGTTATCAGGTCAGCGACACAAATTTGCATCCGACCAGATCAAAACAGCTCAGACGACTGAGACAATCTTTACACACGAGCGAGCTAGTAATATGCGCTCAGATTATTCCATGGCAAATTTACTGGGAAAGTCCTAAAAGTCAATTTATTCCTAGAGATGGCAGAATCTTTGGAGATTCGGCTACAGGCGTTGTTCAGTGTAGCAAGAAGTACTGGCTGTTGCTATATCCGATGCGGTAAACCGTCTGCTTCTCTAGCGGACATAGTAAATTTCTATACATTAAATCTCTCGCTAGCTACTCAGAGGGGACACATCGCAAGTGCCACGTTATTGCTATAACTAGATATACCTCTTATCTCGTCAGGGTCTTAGCTTGTTCACGAATTCTCAGAGGGTGGACAGTCAGGACACATTACCACATTATAAAAAATTTTTTACAAAATTCGCCCCACCGCCCTCCCCAAGCATCCTCCTTTGGTAGGTACGATTCCCCCTATTCATCCTACTTACCGTCTTCCCATCTTTCCCTAACGCTTCCTTTTTAACTATCAGAAATAGCGGTGCTGTTTACGGGGTGTAACTAAGTGCGCATAAAATGGAAAAAATCAGCAATCAGAAAAATCCTTTCTTCACGACAAAATGCGACCCCCTCCGTCTTCCAGCGGCCTGAGGCCCCCGTTGTGGTTTACTCAGTGGACAGTGAACCCCATTAACAACATCGAATTTTGCACTGACTAGCTCAGTTCATTGTAAAGGTTAGATATGCGCATTTGAATGCTTTGTGAATTCCGTATGAGCCGGGTGCGTGGCGTATTAAACTAAGGAGTATATTAATTTGTCTCTTTTTTATTTCTCAACCTTTTGAGAAACTTTCTCCCACAATGACACGTAGGGAATCTTCTATTTTCTTTAACCTTCCCTGGTTACAGGTCATTCCCTCCGAACTGGAAGCGTTACTGGTCACTCACCCAGGAGTTGCCGAAGCGGCTGTCGTAGCCATTTCTGATCATGAGGCTGGAGAGAGGTACTTCTTGAATCCTCTTATTTTTCTCGGTTAATCATTGGACTTGAGGGGATATTTCGCGATTAATGGTCGGAAACGTCGTGGGTAGAAAGGTAAGAAAGTAGAAGCGTATATGCTACCGGGCTACCCTTCTTTTCTTCCCTAACGCTAATCACAGGTTCACTCCCCTCCTTCTGCTATAGAGGATAACCTGTCGCGACTCCATTGTAGTTATTCCTCCATGAGATGATCTCCCCTCCTTTTTTCCCGAAGTACCCACGAGGAAAAAGAGAAGAAAATTATCGGATACGCCTCGAATAAGTCCTTCACTTTTCTGAGGAGAAAGGCAAAGTTCGTTGGGTGTCTGAGCGAGGGAACCAGGAAAGAAGCGCGAGAGAACATAGGAACAAGCGAAGCGATGGACACCAGTGCAGGGCGGAGTCGCTTGCTTTTAGGTGGAGATACTTGAGTGATTTTGCGCCTTAATACTCCCTTCAGGCGCAATTCGGCGACGGGGGCATTTTGCACTCTCGCAGCAATAAATAAATGGTTAAACCTGTCAACTCAAGGAAAGGCCCTTCAGATAGGTCGGAGGCGAAAGTGCAAAATGCCCCACCCCCGTCGCCGAACTGCCTCCTCCCTTCATATTTTCTGACGCAAATATGACCGCGTACCAGGTAGCTTCAGAACGCAGAAGTTTTCCCCTCCCCATGACTTTGATTCATACAAATGTTCATGCTAAATGCCTTTAAGCAGAGCCGAGGCGACTAAACGTTTTTAAAATGAAAATATTGCTCGGGTTGACGTTTCCATAAAACCGTTTTCCATTCACTGACATGAATTGTTCGCCAGTAGAATCAAAATTTCTTTTCCAGGCCGGTGGCCTTCGTTGTTCTAAACA